TTTATAAAATTCCGAGAAATAGCTCCAAATTCCATTTTGATTTATTATTCAAGAAATAAAAACAAAAAAAAGTTATTCTCTCGGTTATTGCATTATAACCCACTAAAACACTTAATCAGAAGCTTCTATAAAGTAAATAACTACATCGATTGTAAAATAAACATAATATCGGTAATGCATAAAGCACAATGCTTTTATACGTATACACACAGCATATACATAGAGAGTAATATGTAATATGAATAAAACGATCTCAATCGCTTACTATGTTAACGCAATGTAAACGATTGAAAGGAGCGGTAATATTAATCAACAATCAATCTTCTGTTATTGATTCCTGCATGCGATTTGTCGGAAATGAAATGAAGTTTTAATTTAGCCCAGGTGTTATTTAGGATTTTTTTTCTGAGACAAAGTATATTAAAGTGATTTTATCGAATTTAATCGATATATTTGAATGAAAGGATGAACCTATTTTTAGCTAGAAAATTGACTATTTCTGACTGCAGTATATGTTGGCTACATTGATTTTTAGTAACAGATGAACACTACCAATCTTCACTTTTTTGTTAGTGCATATATATTACTAATATACTAATATACTATGAACAGAATAAGTAGTTAACAATGAAGGAAAATAGAATGGAATAAAATTCACTTCAAAATAAATATCCATTTTTTTATTCATTGGTGTATTCGGCTTTGACAACTCAGCTTATTATCCTCGTGTTCTATGTAGGTTATGGAGTACTAGTAGTCACGCCCCATAGTGCAGGAGTGTTAGTACTCTAATACTTCTATACTCTTAGAAACAGGCCTTGTTACTGTTTCTTAGCGCCACTTTAGGAACAACACTGATAATTAAAATCCAACAGTAAATGGTAAAACTATCACGTAAGTTTTGGGTTTCTCTAGAGATACTAGACAGAAAAAAAAGACTCGAACAAGGACTAAGGTCCAGACTTTCGCCGAAGGCGAGATCTTTCGTTTTCGGGACACTAAGTCCCGAAACACCGTAATGTGTAGAGTAAAGTTTTTGTGCAGCGATTTGTAAACTTTTAATTATTAATAATAGTTTTAATTGTTAATAATTCCAGACAATATAATTCAATAGGAAGTTTATCTAGTTGTCATTAATAGAATATTAATAACAGTAACCAAAGACCTATTAGTGGTTACAAATGGTCCTTAGGCTAGTCGGTTATTACATTTGGTGACAAGCAGTGGTCTTTAGACATCCGGATTGTTACATTTGGTGAAAGCGACTCTACACACAAAGAGAAATCATCGATATTTAAATTCGGTACAGAGAGAAAGGTAGTAAAGAATATCCTCATAAGACGAGCAGCAGCACTGGAAGCCAACAGCAAAGGGTACTCCATAGCAAACATTTTCAAAACGAACGAGATCCAACAAGTAGCGAAATCATCCTTGAAACAGTTAAGGGGATGGTTTTCTGAAATAGGGACATTCATGAGTGGATTCTACGTAATTTTCCGAATGATTCATTACGCTGGCAGCGTAATATTCAACAGCATGAGAATCTACCAAACTCTCGGATGCGGAGTACAACTGATAGCCAGAATAGGAACAGCAATAACGTTATGGGTACTACACAGGAACCAGTATCGCCAACCTAAACACGAGGACGACGACAAACAACATTTAGTGATATACCGGTTGTTACAAGTTCACAGCAAAATTTATTCGTATTGGACTATTTAACTTCGTCTTTTTAGCAACTTATATCATATTGTGAAGTAACTGGTTCCAATAAAGAAGCGTTTTATTATTTTATATGCTTCCCTAAGATTTAATAATAGTATATTATGTAACGATCATATAATGATGGTCATTAATACACAAAAAAACACCAAATTTTAAACTTAAGCTTTGTTTCAGCGTCCAATGAGCTGATTAGATTTTGGGCAGAGTCGGAACATCTGGGGGGGTACTTTATGGGTGGTCATTTTTATATTTTATGGAATATATCTGTTATTTACGTTTGGAGAAGAAAATTCTTCAAATAAAAGTTACTTCTTATATAATTATCTATAATTTTTGTTTTATGCAAAATTTTCCTAAAATGGTCCGTATTCGAGAAATTTGAGAAAATATAAAAAAAATATTTTTTTATAAAAATTGTTCAAATAAAAGTTGTTTGTAATATAATTCTCTATAATTTTTGTCCTATAAATAATTTCTCTAAAATGGACCATATTCGAGATATTTGAGAAAATGTGTAAATTTCGAATTTTGAAGAAAACTCAAAAACGGATAAAGAAAAAAACATTAAATTTTAAACTTAAGGTTTATTTCGGCCTGACGTGCAATAATTAGATTTTGGACAAAGTCGGAACATCTGGGGGGGTACTTTATGGGAGGCCGTTTTTATATTTTATGGAATATATCTGTTATTTATGTTTGGAGAAGAAAATTGTTCAATTAACAGTTACTTCTAATATTATTTTCTATAATTTTTGTTTTATGTCAAAATTTCCTGAAATGGTCCGTATTCGAGAATTTTGACAAAATGTGCAAAATTCTGATTTTTTTTGTTTTTACGTAATAACTAGATAGGAAAGTCATGTGTTGGACACATCAGATTTTTGTTACTGAAGAACCTTCCTTTAATATTTTGATAATTTTCAACGAATATTACATAAATTATTGGCCCTTATGAAGACGTCAACGTATTCTATGTTATTAGGATACATACATTACACAATTTCTACTCACCCGACTTTCTCAAAATATATATTCCTTACCTGTAACAAAAATAAAAGCATTAAGAAATATATAAATTTGTCAAGCATAAAGAGAAATATTTATTAATTTATTAAGAAGGTATTTATCGAAATCCAAACTAAATTTTGGTATTCTATTTTTTCCACGCAAATATTGCTGTTAACAAATTTTGACAACAAAAATATTTCTAACGAAAAAGTCCTATGTACTAAACTGTTTAAATGTTTTTTTAATGAATTGTCCAAATTGAACAGGCAGGTAAAAAAAACAGTTATATTTGTGACAAGAACCATTATTGTACAAAAATACTGGTTTCAGGCAGCAGAAGTGTTGTAAAAAGATAAAAAAATTACAGATCATAATCATAACCACAAAATATTTACAGCTGGTTACATTCAAAGCTTCAAAAATGACAAGTCAGAATGTACATGTTTTGGTTAACAAACAATCCTACACTAATAATCAGCAATTTTTTCTTGTAATTCATTAGTAATGTGGTACTTTTTGATATTTTTAGAAAGAGAAAAAAATTAGGTTTCCTCTAATGCAGTGGTCGCCAACCTCTCAATGTGTTGAGCTACTTTGTTAATTTTGGAATAAACAGCGAGCTACCCACATAGAAGCCACGTAACGCAACGTAAATGAAATAATCCACAGTTAATTTATCATTATATGTATTTATTTTACTATTTAACTGATAATACATAATACATAGGTACTAATAATAAACTAATAACAAAATAACTAATATTACTAGTACGTACTTGTTCATAGCTACATTCCTACCTACCTACCAAACAAAGGTGTTTGAAAAATAAACACAAACTTTTATCCAGCCACAACGGCATGTCACGTAAGATTTAAAAATAGTTAATTATAACAAAAAAAGTAACGCACTATCATGAACATAAACATTGAAAAATAAAAAAGCACGTTCAATGAGAAGGCTGACACTCAGACTCATCGATAATTTTTTTAACGTTTGCAGTATAATTTGATACAGCCATTCGAATACAATTATCCAAATGTTCATCTGTAAGTCGATTGCGATATTTGTTCTTAATAAACTTCATATTAGAAAAAGAAGATTCACACAAATAGGTTAAACTGAAAATGCTTTCACTTTCAAGGCAACATGGCATAGAACTGAATATTTGTCTTTACTTACAATAGGCCAGATACATTTGGTACTTGAGACTAACAATTTTAAGGCTAAATTATTTTGAAACTCAATTACTTCCATTTCTGTTGCAGCGATGTCTTCGCCAAAGTTCTGCATAACACAAGTTGGAAACTGTTGGATATCAATTTCCATAAAGGGTGAAACAACAAACTGCGCTACTAAAGCCATTTCGTTGAAATCCTTAAAACGATTTTTGAAGTTATTCTTCAGGGTAGAAACTATTTCTACATATTTGCTGTCATAGGGTTCTAATGGATTTTGAGATATTTTTTCTGAAAGAATAGGAAAATGTTTGGCATCGCTGTTAATTAGGTTTTGTTCCCAAAACTCCAGCTTTTTGATAAATGCTTTTATATCAGAAATCATTTCCGCTAGTTCTTTGTCTCTTCCCTGAAGCTGCAAATTAAGTTCGTTTAATTTCTCTGTAATGTCCATGAGAAAACCAAAATCTCTAAGCCAGATTGAATTTTCTAGTTCCGGAGTCGGTTCATCAATTATGCCAGATAGGACATCTTTAAAATGTTTCAGCACCCGTCCTCTACTTAACCATCGGACTTCAGAGTAAAGGAGTAGGTCCCCGTATTGACAGTCAACTTCATCGGCCAAGGTTTTGAATAATCTTCTTTGTAACGCTTGAGCTCTAATCTTGTTCACAATTTTTACCACCAGTTTCATAACGTTGTTTAGTTTCAGGAAATTTCCACATAATGCTTGCTGATGGATAATGCAGTGGTAACAGAGAAATTGCGGAAAAGTTTCATCTTTGCGACATGACGCCACCAGACCCTTATCATAACCCACCATAGCTGGAGCGCCATCGGTTGTCAAGCCTACCATTTTCGATATTGGAATTTTCTCGGAAGAAATACTATTTTTTTAAATGAGAAAACAACTCCTGTCCAGTAGTGTGTTCTTTCAGTGGAATAAACTTCAAAAGATCTTCTTTAATCGTAAAATCACTGAAAACCATCCAGACGAACACGACCATCTGGGCAGTGTCAACGACATCTGTTGAATCATCCAGTTGAAGTGAAAAATAAACACAGTTATCTAAGTCAGTTCTTAACTGTTAAAAAATATCTTTGCTTATTACTTCTACACGTCTCATCACTGTATTAGCAGAAAGTTGCATAGATTTTATAGCTGAAACTATCTCGTCTTTATTTCTAAAGTTGGCAAATAACGAATCAGCAGCTTCTAAAAACGCCTGTTTTATCATTTCCCCGTCTTCATAAGGTTTCTTTTTTTGTGCAATTATCTGGGACACACGGTACGATGCTTCAGTTACAGCCTTATTTTTGTCGACTGTTCTTAAAAATATTGATTGTTGTCCAATTAACTGCTTTTTTAACTGTTTCAGTTTTTCCTTTCTGGCGGCGGAATGTAGTGGGAATGATTTTTCAAAATTAGAATGTACAGTTTTATGATGTCTCTCAATATTTCCTTTTTTAGCAACGAAGACCGAAGTATTACATAACAAACACACATTTTTATCTTTAACTTCTGTAAAAAAGTATTGTTCTTCCCATTCCTAATGAAAGTGGCATGTCTTTACCTTCTTACAACTGCTTGCCATAATATTATTTTTTGTTGTTCTCTACTAACCCAACCCCTGGACGTTGATTACGCGTTCAGTTTTAAACTAAGCGCAATGTCGCCGCGCCGTGCGTATTTATTCCGTTCAAAGCAATTTTGATCGTTCTCGAACACTAACGCGCTGGTCCGGCTGATCGGTTCTAGCCGATTTTAGCTTGATGGCGTCAGCGGCAGATCGCTCACCGCAACGTTGCCGCTGTTTATGTTTAATATTATGACAATTAGATTTTTTTGTGGAATTTTCGGAAGCTTCTCTGATTTTTGCAGTTTGTGTTTTTTAAATTAAAATCGTTGTGAGAGCTACCAGAATTGCCTCCGCGAGCTACCGGTAGCTCGCGATCGACAGGTTGGCGATCACTGCTCTAATGTATCACTCGACCTTACGTTGCCATTTAAAAAAATTGTTAAATGCAAAGTACCATCCAATTTCATAACTATACAATTATTAGTTTTAAAGAAAATATCTTATTGCCAGACTTTTTCTCTACACTCTATACATTTCATTTAATTTTTAAATAAATATCGTGTTATTAAGAGAAATATTGTCCATAGAAATTAGTAGTAAAATATATAAATTAGTGTTGCATTTGGTATAAATAAATTAGGTAATAAATTAGTCTTAGTGAATATAAATTAAATAATTAAATACACGTTGCAATACGACCAATACAACTTTTTGATTTACACTAGAATTCGCGTGTATTTATCAACAGTTTTAACAGAACGAAAAAAGGGTTTCCCTAACAAATATTCCAGATTTCTTTTGATCACTTCACCCTCATTTCCCCATATGCGAAATATCTTATCAGAAAACGATTCGAACGCTGAAAAATGCTCTTACCACCTCGTCGTCGCCTCGACGCGAATGAAACGCGGGGATTACGGCCTGAAAACCGTCGACGGATGGCAGAAATTCGACAGGGCGGTAATAGACAGGATCATGATTGATTATTTTCTTCGTTCCCCGTGCCACAATGAATGCGATGCACACGTCACTCTATGCAAAAAACAATTTACTTCCCGTGTAGGCACTAAAAAATGATCTCGAAGATTGCTGTCATGGAGACCCGAACGGATTTCGGGATTTTCTCCCTTTCGCCACGGCCAAAGTTTAAAACGATATAAGGGAGATTAATTATTGTTTTACGAGAGCAATGCTAAATCGTCAAAGTGGTTTTAATGGAGTATCTAGCGGAAATTTATTATTTAGGCTACACATGCTGTCATTCTAGCAAGAAATATTCTATCAGTTTTTACTTTGTCCACATTTTTCTTTCGCGGAACCAGAGCGGATAATCCTATATTCCTTGTAAAGGTACTAAAACGTTTATTTGTCTTATCTGACATATGCTAACTTAAGACCAGTGACAGATTGGAAAAATACGTTTTGGGTAACTCGTTCCAAGAAGGTTTGTTATGATTCTTGTTCGAGAATTGTTCTAGAATCATACGCAGAACTATTGCGCAACAATTGTTAATTCTTAACAGTTCTGTAACAATTTCATTTGTACTCGAAACCAAAACACTGCTACAACAGTTAAATGTCAAAAAGTAATTAAAAAAAAAAAAACAGGGGGTGGGTGGCTCAGTGGTAGAGCCTCTGCCTGTGGATCCAAGGGTCCCAGGTTCGAATCCCACCGTTGGCTGAAATTTTTTCATTTAATTTAATTATTTAAAATTAATTCTGATGCCTTGGTAGGATTCCTTACTCGACCATTCACTGTTGGGTTCTAATTAACAGTGCTGTTCCTAAAGTGGCGCTGGGAAACAGTAACAAAGCCTACACAGAACACAAGGCGAAATAACCTTAGCAGTTGAAGCCGATGACACACAAAAAAAAATTTAAAAAAAAAGAAGAAACAACAAAGGGTTAATGTCTAATTAAGAAAGAGGCTATCCAATATTGTTAAAGATTAAATAATAAATTGATAAACAAACTTACAACATGGCCGATTCGGACATCGTCGCGGCAACATTGAAATGGCGATCTCCGAATCGAGGGTCTTCAAGTCTTATAATAATCATAAAATATCTAGTGTAAAAGTGACCTACCGATACAAGGCCAAGAATATTGAAGAATAATTGAAGAATACTATCAAGTGCAGTGGAAGAGAGAGGACAGAAATCTGACGTACGAGGGTGCAGCTTTTTCACTTAACAAAATTTGAAAAATATCTTAACCTGGGGGTGGATAGTCCTCGAATTAAGCCCATAACCACATGAAAGAAGAAGTAGAAGAACTTATACCATGCCTCATTCTAATTCGTTATTTGAAAATTCCTTGCGAAAGTGCCAACACAAACATGGCCAGGATCCCATCAACAAAATTAATTGGAAACAACGCAAGCCCGAAAATATCAATTCTAAAACAGTTCTTGCTTTGGAGCAGAACCAAAAGTTCTTGCTTTGGGGCAGAACCGAAGTTATTGTTCTAGAATGTTTATGGAACCATTCCCAAGAAAATCCAAAACACAGAAAGTATAGGTTCAGAACTTGTAACGGTTGGAACCGTTATTCGTTATTTCAACAATATATCATTAATATAGCGCCTCAACTCGATTAAATAGCTCTTAACTTTGAAATAGTTTCCTTATAATTTATCATTCTAATTCCCATAAGTATTTCACAGAGGTTAACTAAACTAACTGCATGCCTTGTACTTTTACCAATACTTTTTTACCTCTTATTTTAACCTTTTCTATAAATCTATATATCGTGTCGTCTAGTTTTATATAATATCTGCATTTTGTACTAGGTCCAGTGTTTATTTATACATAATAATATACATATTTACTCATATTTATTTACAAATATTTATACATATTTTGCTAGTAATCTATATATTCATTATACACTGATAAAAGTGTATAGTATATGGATTTTTACCTAAAGTTGATTTTTTTTCCTCTCAAGTAAATTTTTTTTGTTAGTGTTAAAATTTGTGCCTTAAATTAATTAATTATACTGCTTTTTATATTTATCTGAGGAAGATGATAATGAAGTCATGCCTAACGTTAATAATGATACTTCTGATAGTGAATATTATATTCTGTAATTTAGAAATATATCTCCTTCCTTGATTTCCATACCGCTCCTTTTAATAAGTTAAAATATTATATATTATAGAATATTATATCAAGCTTTTTCTGCTATTACCTACACGAACAAGTAATACCGCCTGTAGTCAATTTGTTCCTTCTACACCATTGGAATATTTATGAGTCAGACCAGACATTAAGTTCTAACTTTTAACTGTCTGGTACTGCTTATTTTGTAAAGCAATACTGTCTGTAATAATATCCTTAATTTTTGGTAATATGTAATAGTATTTACTATTTAACTGAAAAATTAGGATTTTTTTTCTCTTGATTGGTAGTAAATTTATATATTGTTATTAAATTTGAGTAATATTTCAATTTGTTTGAACATTACCTTTTTCTTAAATTCAGTATTAAAATACTCAAGTTGACTTTGAACTATATTATCTAACATTTCATATTTTTTCTTTATATGGTTAAGTACCTCACTATTGTATAACTAATTGATTCCGAACCAACTATAAATTATATTTAAATACAAGTAGTAAAAGTTTGTATATCTTTACTCTTTCTTCAATTATAATTTGAGAATTTATGCTTTTAGCAATATCATTTGATACCTCTGTTTTCACTTTATATTGAACATAATTTAGTTGAGTATTGCAAAATTTTATATTTAGGTTAACTTTATGTTAACAGATAACTTGCATTACTATACTTTTTTTACCTAACTTTATTACTTTGTATGTACCTTTGCTGATTTACACTGAGAAAAGTGACAGCATTACGAATATGTTTCGTATACTTTACCTGATGTACTCACTAAAGTGTGTACATTATTTATCTTGATTTTCATAATTTATCTTCTATAATATTATAATATATCTTTATTCACTAGTTAAGTGAATGTGTTATTTATCGTTTAATAATATTATTTTTACCTTTAGTACTTAATGTACTATGTTTTTTGAATATCAAGATATTTTGATTTGAAATAATTCACCGTTACTTAGTTATGATATAACGAATAACGGTTCCAACCGTTACAAACTAGTTATGATGAAACCGAAGCAGCAAATATCTACTGCGCATGCTCTACAGGTTCTGGAACAGTTACGAACGTGAACCAAAACAAAAAACGTTCATAACTGATCCAGAACCTTTGGAGCATGCGCAGTAGATATTCGCAATTTTGGTTTCGCCATAACTAGTTCCGCACCTTTATGTCCTGTATTTTGTTTTTTATTGGGAACGGTTCCATAACCATTTTCGAATAGTAACATCGGTTCTAGCCCAAAGCAAGAACTGTTTTAGAATTGTATGTTTAGTTTATATTTGCGTTTACGCTTGCACTATTTTCAATCAGTTTTTAACTATATTTTCAATTATATTAGTCAATGAACTTATTAAGGAAATGTCCCTAAAGTTTTTTGGTTTTGTAATATCATTCATTTTGTAAATTGGTGGTGATATGGACAATTTAAGTGCATCGGGAACAATGCCTTGTTCAAATGATTTATTAAGCATTGTAATGTGAGCCGTTTCTGACCAATCTGGTCATGCTCTGATCCTTGTCCCCACTTGTCCTTAAAACCAGAAATATTTGATGAACAAGATCGATCTCGAAAATTGTAAGGTAGCGTGATCCATCTTGAAGTTTCAATGCTTTTCTAGGTGCTAGTAACTGACCTTAAAGACTATTTTTAAATTAAACAATCATTACATTCGTGTTAGAAGTGGAACTGCAAATAAATAGTGGACACAAAAATAACTAAAAAACTGTGTGTTTTAAAAGGGTCTAAGTTGCGTCAAGAACTAGAGGATCGGGTTCTGGAGACCACAGGAAAGACATCAGAGCTAGCAGAGCGG